AGGGCTTGGATTTGCCCCCCAAACCCATTACCTAGCCCAATAGCCCACCCAAAAAAAATCCGTTAAAACCCGGCCCCAAGAGCCCTGTAAGATCCCATATTAAAAAAATTAAATAAGGATACTATTATCTTAAGATTTCTCCTAATATGAATAAAATAATTTTAGAAACTTAGAATTATTGTTAAAAATTGATCATGAAATTTGAGTTTCAAACGAATTAACTTTCGGGTCAAACTTAGTTTCGAAGGTGTATAACCTTAACAAGGGTGATTAGGTAAGTTTCTAAATATTTTTACATCATAATAATGCCTCCATTGAATCTGGAAGGTCAAAAAATATTGGAAGAGGTAATATGGGGTGTATTAGAAGTTAGAAAGTATTTTGGAGTTAAAAACCTATTTTGGAGAGGATTTGGGTAGAAAAAAATTTGACACTACCTTAGTAATTTAGCCATAGCTTTCTACTCCTAAATTAGATTGATCTGGTTTTTGGACAGTAGAAACTATATTTCAAGAGCTACAAAAGTGTATTTCACGAAAATTACCTAAAGTGAGCTCTAAATTGGCCAAACATTCATTGGAAGTTCAACTGAAAATGGGATGACGTTCAAACGTGAAAGTCCATTTGAACGCCAACCGTTCGAACGTGAAAGTCCGTTTGAACATGAAAGTCCATTCGAACGACAATTCGTTCTAGTACTCTTGTCTAATGGAAAAACAAAAATACTGGAAGCACATGACATCCGAACGCTAATGACGTTCAAACGTGAGTAGTAAATCAGAACATCAGATTTACGTCGGTTGAACTCTATTCTCACCCTATAAATACATAAGGTTGCCTCCCTTAGCACAATTTCAACATTTCTAACCCTAGAGAGTCTTATAAAGGAAGAAAGAAAGAGAGAAACACAAGATCAAGAGGAATTTTCGCATTGAAGTGGATCAAAATCTCAAGTTGTTCACACAAAACTAAGGAAGAAAGTAGGGGTTTCTTCCTATTCTCTTCCATTGAGGCTAAGATTTATATATATGTATGTTTTGACTCTAAATCCTATTTATATGTTAGAAAATTCTTATTTCTTGATATTCTTGCAAATATTACCATGTTTTAAACAAAACTATGGTCAGATAGCCATAAAATCTCTTTTTCTTGTCTTAAAACCCTAGTTATCAAGGAAAATGAATTTTTCTCTTTAATTTTTCCTTTATTCTTGATTTCAAAACTCTAATGCTTGGTATTGAACTATAAAATGGTATTATTGATGATCTCTTTTCTTAAATTGTTCTATTGGAATAATACATGTAAAATTTGAGAATTTTGGATTTTACTTGGGATTGAAGAAATTGGTTGGGTACTGTATCTCTTGTGGATGTTTGTATGAACATGGATGACCGTTAACTGTGTATCATAAAGTGGATAGATGCGTTTTTTACTTCGTGAGGGTTTGAATTTTTTCTATCATTCGTAGTTGGGTTGGTGCCTTGCGAGGACCAAATTACTATTCACTCACGAGTATCGAAACTAAGGGTTAGTATACTATTCTTAGGTTGGATTCGTCACTGTTGATGCGTCGGTATATGGTCTTTCTAAAGTTGTATATCCTTGCGAGAATTTGAGTGTGTGTATGTAGGATATGATATTCTCGATGTGTTTATTCATGCAATATCTTACATCATACCTGAGATACATTATGTGCTATTATTTATTATACAAATGGTTGGTTATGGTTTATTGTGGAAAGGAGTTTATTGTGGGCAATTGGTTTACTGTAAAAATGGTTAATATGGAAAGGGTAACTTGTTGGAATTGTTATTTTTAAAAATTGGTTGTACTCTTTTACTTAATTATGGCTATTGCGTAAACTTGAGATCCATTGAAATATCTATGTTTTCTTTCAAAAGCTATATATGATATTTGTAAAATGAGACTGACTGTTTTATATGCTTTTGAATCCTTGTTCGAGTTTGGGAGGATTTTCCTACAGAGCTTAGTGCTCACCCCCTACAAATAATATCTTTTTTAGATTATGATTTAGATGAGGAGCTCAAAGTTGATGAGCTGGTACATTGAGAAGCTCCAAATAGATGGGAATGTGGATCCCAAGGTGGACTTTTAGAGTTATATTCTCTTATGTTCTAGACTAGAAAATTTATTTTGAGACAATGTGAAGTTTAATATTTTTGTTATTCTGCTGCAAGATAATAGTTGATTTTTGGGATGTAATTGTCATAGTTTGGCATATTCTTTTGGATGCAATGGTCATGGCTTGACATATTCTTTTGGATGAAGTTGTAAATATTATGAATGATGAAATGAAATTTCCTTTAATTATGAACTTTGTTAGTTGCTCTCATGATGTAAATAGTTTTAAATAGTAATACCGTCCATGGGGAATTTTGGGTCGTTACAAACCCGCCTACCAAACCCAACCCATCCACACAACCCGCGCACCATTCCTTTGAAAAAAAGTTATACTTTTAAACCATTAAATTTAAAATTTTGAAATAAGTCTCACAATATCGGAATTTGAAGTTTTAAAATTTTAGACACTATAAATAATGTATTATTTTCTTTTTAATGTATTAAGCATACAAGTTTTAAATGGTAGAATAATTCAAATGATAGATAAGTGAGTAGGTGTCAACCTAATTGGGATGTATTCATTCTATTGGATATAGTTCATCCCTTAATCAAAAATAAAATTATTCATTATTTTATTTTTATCCATTTTGACTCTACTACTTTAATTTAAAAATATTATTTACACAAATATTAAGTTACAAAAATATTCATTATTTTTAAATGAATTTGTATATAAAAAAGCCCACGAGCAGGCTCGCATAGCAAGCTCGCCCAAATGATCTGCTCAATAGGCTTGCAGGTAGCTTACCCCTACCTGAAGCTCAACACGGTCCGATAACTCACTTGGGTAAGGACTTGGACCTACACTATCTAGGCCCGGCCCTAAAAAAATTTTGTGGGCCTAACCATGGACACCCCTAGGTGCAAGACCAAAAGTTTTCTCGGGATGGTTTATGTGTGAACCAATGTTTGATTGATTATGTTGTTGGTATCCGGGGCATGTATGGTATTTGCTATGATCATTTAGTTTCAACGTATAAATCTTTGATTTATAACTTATATATTTCAAATGATGATGTGCGGGGAGATTTTTATTAATGCTCTACTTGTACCTATACTTGATCATAAAAAACTTCATTATTTATTCATATGGTTTGTGAAATGTTGGTTTTAAAACTTTATACATGCTTGAAAAAAATATTATCCTACTGGCTTGTGGTTGCTCATTATCCCTGACTAATACTTTCATAGACTAACATGTATCTTGGGGAATAGGTGATGAAACGCTTGTGGAAGCTTGGACTAGGAAGAATTTCTTTCGGAATCCTTTTGTATTTACTTGTAGAACTTATATAGAAATGTTAGCATACAAACATTGTATTTGAAAGGGTTGCCTTGAGATACTTGTGGTGTACACTTGATCATCCCATAGAGAGATTATTATTTGGGCATTGTAATATAAAGTTATGATTTTTGGTATTAAGTTTTGGAGTATAGTTGTATTGGATGTCTACGGGTTTGGGAGGACTTCATGGGACTCTAATTGTCACCCCGACTTTAGTTGGATTCTATTTTGATGGATGTATGTTGTGGATGCTTAGTTAATTTAAATTATGTTATGTTTTAACAGAGATGCTTTTACTAGCTAGTTGGAAACTCAATTTTCAAATGAAACTCTGTTGAATTTTTTTGAAAAAATATATTTTTATTAAATCAAATATTTCATTTCATTCAATAATTATTATAAATGATAAGAAATTTTGGGATAAATATTACTTTTTATTCAATCACGCTTAAATGAAAATTGGGCGTGACACACTAAGCATCAATTTTTGTCTCCAATGTTGTGCAGCCTATGGCACAATTTTATTGAAACAAGCGTCTGGCTATTGTATCTGACAAGAGTTGGAACATATTGCTTCATATACTTGAGTCGTGTTGGAACTTAAGAAACAGTACTTGTCCTAGGAGTTGTGAGAGAATTTGTTTGTGTTTTTTTTTTTTGTGTCTGGAGGTGTTTATTCCTTAGGAGAGGGTATGTCGTGAGCAACTTGCCTAAGGTCATGCTCATTTTAGCCTTAAGCAGTAATGAAACTTTGTTGTTTATCTTCTTTTTTTTTCTGAATAAAATTATTTTACATACCGAATAAAAAATACGTGATTATGAGACTAAAGAGTGCATTCTGAACTCTAAAGGCCAACCAGAGTGTAAGACCCATCCTAGGAATAAACTCTATGAACAATATAAGTTTTTGCAAAAGCTACAGGTCGGGAAGGGGACAAATCTGTTTCCAGGCAGAAATTAAAAAAGTTTCCCATTAGAGGTCATAAGCCAATTAACAAACTCCCTCAAATCACTCTTCAAGTGCTCTATCTCCTGTTTCTTCTGGAACGGAGGATTTAAAGCTTCATGGATTTAACATGTTTGCTGCATTTAACCTTCTTAGGGGAATGCCCACCACAACATGCAAAAATACAAAAAAAAACATAACAAATTAAAGATAATAGAAAAAATATTGATATCAAGAATATGAAAAATGCTATTTAGACCTAATAATGCACAACTATTGGATTAGTTGTGGACTCGATCTAAAAATTAAAACTCATAACTAATTTAATAGTTACATTGAAATCACATCATTAATTCCCTAAATTAAGTTTCTAAATAAAGTTTATATAGCATTGTTTCAAGAATATATGCTTCCATCGAGGAACTTCAAACAAGAGATATGTCAAACTAAAAGAATATTAATTACAATTTACTCACTCCAGTTCATATAATTTTTGCTTGAGGAAAGAACTGTCCACAAGAAAAACAAATGACAAAGAACCGTTTCATGGACCTATTTTTAAGAACTAATACCTACACTAAAGCAAAATGATACAAATCAAAATAAGAACCTTAATCGTAGATCTGATCATAAGCCAAAAACTCCAGTGCTTTTTGCCATTGCCACCCTCTTCTCCACATCTAAACCACGACAAGAGCCAGACACAGTTGCGAGTTCACCCGGAAGGACCATAACTGTACCACCATACCTTCTTCGAGTCCATTCTTCGACAAAACCTCGTTCCAAATATTCACCAACACATAAATTGAGCTCGTTTTCATTTCCCACTTCCTCAAGTGTATGTAGCAGTCGTCAAGGCATGGCTCAATCAATTTCACTTTCAATTCTGATTCGTTCAAAAGCATCTTCTCATCCGGAGTGAGAAAATCGTTTTTGATTTGCTTCCGTGGGATTGATAAATGGCCATGGTTTCGGCTCAAATCTGTCTTGTACAATGGCTTCTGAATGATCAACATCTCCTGAGAACCACCCATATTCTGAATCAGATTTTTGAACTGTACAGGCAAGTGTAGTGGTAGAATTTCTGGTATTGCGTCATGTTTCTCTTGACCTTTTTCTTTGCCCTATTCTCTTCTTGATCTGCATGTTTCCTTTCATGGCGTCGGCGTTTCAAGCAAGCCTTTATGGCTTCTGTGTCAGGTTTCTTGATCATCTTTTCTGTTACCAACCCTTTTGCCAAGTTGGTAACAAGAGAATGTGACACAGGCTTCCCCAAAAACTTCTCTGAAATCAATCTTTCACCCTTGAACGCGTCATCTGGGACTATGAAAGTGATTTTCTTGGACGATTTCTTTTTTCTCAACGATCTCTTACCCTGTCTTATAAAAAGGATCAATGGAAGAATTGGATCAGTCAGCGATTCTTCATACACAGATTTACCACCTAGGCTTGTGCGACCGAAAATATTTTGGCACGAGTTTTTTTAAATCAACTCCTTTTCTTTCTCGAACATTTTCACTGCCTCCGCCAACATGTGCAATCCTTCGTAAATGGGTTCGTACCCAGCACCTTTAAAATCATCAGCATTCGACATTGTTCTTTTCATCTTGATAATTGAAGAAGAACACTTTTGCTCTTCTTGACAGATGGAAATACAATCACAGATTGAGATGAAAATATAGTTGAGTGAGCGAAGAATTATCACCAAATAATACACAGTTTGATCATGCGCTTCTATAAATGTTAGTTACTTGGGCTCCAAGGATCTTTACTGAAGAGTTTGTGATTATGTGGGTAATGATATCTTTTTGATATTGGAGATGAACTCGTAAAGGGTCACTAACTAATATACCGACAATCATAAACCTTCATTCATATCAGCAAACGTGTGTATGTGATTGATTACTTTGGCTCCTAGGGTTTTGCTTTCCTAATCTAAACAGAGCATTAAACACATGGCGATATTTATTGAAGAAGTTTTTATTATGTGGGTATTGGGTAATGATGTTCTTGATAGTTGATGGCCAATCAGGGGTTGAGAGATTTGTTAAGCGGTTTGTAATTACAGTTCAAATAAGGTTTGGAGAGATTTGCAAGATCCGTGTATAATTGTAGGATAAAGTGAAATTTATATATATATTTTTTTATTTTTGGTAATGAAGAATTATAGGTCTTAACTAAGCTCAGGAGCTACCAGCAAAAGTCAAACCCGTAATGTTCAAATTTACGATTAAACTAGATCTAATACCATACCGCTGGGGTATACGTGTGGATTTTCTGCAAATCTATTCATCATGGTTTCCTAAGTTGGATTGATAGCTCTCACGCACGCTTGTTATTCATGTTGGATTGGTATGTCTAAAGTGAAGACTTACTAATGATTTAATCAGTTTATCTGATGACTCACTACAATTGAATTACCCGTAAATCTCACTATTAGTTGAATTCTCCTATTAATTAAATGATTATAAAAACATCTCCATTGGAGATGCCAAATGTTATATGCAAATTTAAATTTTAAGGTTTTTATGTGACAATTTGACATATAGCATTTGATATTTTTTCTTTCACTCCGACCGATATGTCAAAATAATGTATATACAGTCTTTATTTATAAATCTTTTTTCTTATATTAATTTAATATATATATTTAAAACAAAATTTTGGGATCAATTAAAATAAATATTATATTTTAAAATATTATTAATTTTATATGAAAAGTAGTATATATTTTATTAAAACTAAAATTCCCATCAAACTTAGCTAATATAAATTTAAACGACAATTAAAAGTACAATTCTAAAAATTAAATTCTAACCAAATTATATGTTACTGCATAAAATAAATTATATTAAACACCCAAAAACTCCATAAAATATTGTATTAAAAAGATCAAATTTGACATATTTATTGAGATGTGTCAAATTTGTTTTTGCTCAACCAAGAATTGGCATGTCGGTTGGCGAAGCCTTACATGCCAAAAAGAGCCTGGCATTTGGCATACAGGTTGGAGATCCTCTAATGTATCAAGTTAACAAATAAATTAATTGGGTCAATATAATATTTTTTTCCTAATCATCAATTAGTGTCTTGCTTAATATTAAATGGGGAAGTGCCCGTGTGATCTGTAACTTAAAGTCACAGGTAAGCTTAACGAATTCAAAAATAAACCAAGTACATATTCAAATTTTGTTGGCTAAAATTTAGTTTTTATGAGTTCTTTGAAATGGGTCAGATTTCAATTTTTAACCAATTCAAAAAAAGAATTTAAAAATAAAATATATCAGACAATCGAATAAAGTTTGGATTAGATATTTAAAGAGTAATGCTAGTGGGACATAATTTGTTGACCTAATTCATTATGACATTTGGATTGATTATAAATTCCATCAAACATCGGAATTTAGTGTTGATCAAATGATTCATATGAAACTACATCATTAAGTCAACAAATTATATCAACTTTTTAGATTCAAATAACATTCCTCATTTTTAATTTACCACATAATTGTTAAAAAATATTTAGTTCAAAATATTTTATACATAAATTTTTTTTTTGGAATGCCAGAAATACCCATAAGGTAACAATTATATAGTGCAAAAAATGGATAAGAAAACTGTCATAATTATGGAACAATCCTATTAAATTCGTCAACTGTTATATCCCTCAAAATATGAATTTTTAATTTTTTTAAAAAAAATTCTGCAGTAAAATCCTTCAATTTTCAACAAAACACACACACACACACACACAAACATTGAAGTACCATTGAAATTGCCGATAATGTGACATTACAATAATACATTACAGTGTAACACAATCATTAACACTTTAATTACTGACAAAAAAATTATGAAATTATATTCACCGATTCATGTACAATCTAAATAGTATGTATATATATATATATATATTATTTTTAATGAATGACAGTGTTACATCACAGTTGCAAATGATACTGTTATTAGATTTGAGAACAACCAGAACTGTTTAATATTAAAAATAATATAAAAAAATGAATTTCAAAATTTGAGTCAAGCTAGTAAAATATATTTCATAAGGTAAATTTTTGAATTTCAAATTTCTTTAATTCCTTAAAATATGAAAACCATTAATATTCTATTTTTCGATACATGTAGTTGATAGATTGAATTTTACCATCCCATATATGTCACATTTGATTTTTTTTGTTTTTTGTATGTAACAATATCATAATACTATAATACAAATAAAAGTTTATAATTTAATCAATCTCTTTGATAAAAAATATATAATAATATATTTAGAGGTGTAAATATTCAAGAATGACAATCTTACAATAAAATTTCACAATAAACAAAGGAGAAGATATTTAAAGGAACTGGAGGGATGCCTATATAAGACAAATTAGGTACTAAAATAGGGGTGGAGTGGATCAATTATTAGATTTAACACTAATTAAAATAATATTTAATTATTTGACATATAATTCATTATTCAAATAAATTATAGATATTAAATTAAAAAATATTATTTAAACATATTCACGTGCAATACACGTCGTTTATTGTTAGTCAATAGTTAAATAAGTCATGGATAAATTCGTAATTAAAAAAATTAATATTCAAAAAAAAAATTATCAACATTTTTATTATTCCTAATGAAGTCTCAGCCACCATGATGCTTGAAAAAGGAAGTATGCACCAACAGAGAGACAAATGGCGAATGTAGCCTAGATGTTTGATAGTATAAAATTTCAGTTTATATGTTAACCAAAAATTAAATAAATAAAGCCAGGAAATTCATTCAAAAATATTAACCTGTGCAAAAATTATGAATTGTAGATTTGCACTTTGAAAGCTTAAAAAACATCAATCATTAATGGTATTCCTTGAAAAGAACTTCAGGAAAATTCATCTTTCCTCAAGATTTCATTATGCTATAAAACACAAAATAAAGCATGCACCACAGACAGCAGAAAGACTACCAACAGCTAACGGTCGGAGGGGAGGGTCCAACCAAAAACAGAACAATGCTCTGAAAATTTTTGGGAACAAAACAGAGAATAACTACATGGTGGAAAAGTCTGCCTTAAAAAGTGTTGTATCATGTTTCCAGCCCTGGGCATGATCTTGTTAGGAATTCGCAATTTATGAATTCAGCACATAGGATCAAGGTTGTGACATTGCTCATCGGCTCAGGAGATAGTGAGACGCATCAGTCGCATTGTCGGAGAATGTAAACCGATGATACACATGAAATGTTAGATAGAAGAAATTGGAGATGGCAAAAGATTTGGGCGATGTAGTTGTGTAGTAATATAATATTTGAGAATGCACATTGATTCGATGATGTAGTCGACTAAGGACTCACCCGAAACATCCCCGAATTGGCCATGAAACGGATGAGACCCATGATTACAAAGAACATGTATTGTTCTCGAAAAGAAAGGTACCAAGTACGATACAAAGCCAAAGTCAAATTCTTTTAACGCTGACAAACCATCTTTCAATACTTCAAAATGAGCAAAATGAGTTGAAATAACTGAAATAATATGGGCAGGCCAACTAAAAACAAACTGTACTCTCATTACACCAGGAAAAAATACATGAATCACATTATCATTCTGAGCACAAGGTGCAAACACGTTTCATACACAAGATACAAGTATCATCACCGATGCCCAGCACAACAAAATAAAAAACTAAATAAGTGACAAATACAAGGCAATAGAAAAGATATGCTTTCATTGATATATATTTGATGAAAAGAAATTCAGAAGAGAGTAATTACAATTTATTGACTCCAGTATATAATTTCCTTTTTCAGCGGATAGTGGAAAATTCCCTCTATAATATAAAGACAAAATTAGAGGACAGAGAACTCCTTTCCTGGGCATATTAAGAAACTCTAAATTCTAGGTCTGAAAAAAAAAAAAATCTAAATTCTAGGTCTGATCATAAGCAAAAGATCGATGTATATGACACCCTCTTCTCCAGAGATCTAAATTACAACAAGAGCCAGACACAGTTCAGAGTCCACCCGGAAGGACCATAGCTGCACCATCATACCTTCTTCGAGCCCATTCTTCTTCTTCGATAAAACCTCGTTCCAACTATTCACCAATACGTAAATTGCCCTGGTATTCATGTCCCACTTCCTCAAGTGTATGTAGGAGTGCTCAAGGCATGGCTCAATCAACTTCACTTTCAGTTCTGATTCGTTCAAAAGCTCTCTCTCGACTGCTGTGAGAAAATCAGTTTTGATTTGGCTTTGTGGGATCGATAAACGACCGTGGCTTCGACTCAAATCTGTCTTGTACAATGGCTTTTGAATGATCAACATCTCCTGAGAACCACCCATATTCTGAATGAGAATCCTGAACTCTATAGGCAACTCTGGCGATAAGTTTGGTAGAATTTCTGGCATTGCATTCATGTTCCTCTTTACCCTTGCCTCTTCTGGCTCTGTCTCTTTGCTCTCATGGCGTCGGCGTTTCGGGCAAGTCTTTGTGGCTTCTTTATCTGGTTTATTGATAATCTTTTGTGTCATGAACCCTTCTTCCATGTTGATATCAACAGAATCAGTCACAGACTCCATGAAAGACTTCTCATAAATCAATCTTTCACCCTTTTGTGTATCAACTGGGCCTCTGAAAGTGATTTTGTTGAAAGACTTCTTCGTTCTCAACGATCTTTTACCCTTTCTTGCGACAAGATTCAGAGGGAGTATTGGCTCTGTCAGCGATTCTCCATAGACAGAGTCATCATCAGGGCTTGAAAGCCCAAAAAGGTTCTCGAATGAGTACTCTTTGCAACGCACACCCAGTCGGCGCAAGAAAAAACCAAGATTGGTCCTGCAATTTCTTTCTTTGATCAACTCTTCTTCTCTGCGGATTTCTTCAAACGCCATTGTTGCTGCCTCCACCAAGTAGTTGAATGGAGCCCAGTTGGGAACCTCCCCAACACCCTCAAAATCATCAACATCCGACATTGTTCTTTTCTTTTGAGAGCTTGAAGAAGAACACTTTAAATCTTCTTGGCAGATGGAAAATAGAAAGATGGAAACAAACCCGTAGAATGGTCAATGAAATGATACACTGCCTGCTTTTATATATAGCAGAGTGCGAGAGTGTGAGATGTGAGAGTGTGAGTGTGTGAAATTAATTCCGTGAGCTTCAAGGGTTTCATTTTCCTTTCCTAAACTAAACACAGGCGAGAGAGAGACGGTTATTTATTTGAGAGAGACAAAAGCAAGCTATATTCTTTGATCGAAGGAATAAAACTTATTTGAGCAATGCTATAAGGATCTTATTTACGGATTTTATTTAAGGTTCCCAAATTATGTCTAAATAATATTTTTCAATTTTTTTTGCTAAAAATCTGGATTTTTGACCTTTCAACAATACTCATGATGAAGAGTTTACAATGACAATTCAGTCTAGAATAATAAGAGAGGTCATGGGTAAGAATATATTGAATAGAAACTCAAACTCTTATTCAAAATGAGTAAAACAATGAGTCTTGAATAAAAAAAAATGAATCTCCCTCAATTTAATATAGTAAGTTTACCATGGGAGAAGGTTTTTAGAAATTTTTTTACCCAAATTTAAATTTGGGTTTAAAAAGGATAAGGAATAGAAATGCTCTAATATACCAAGAGCTCAAGCTAGAGAAGGGTAAAGATGTAATTTTTCCTTAATTAACTGCACCACAATTTTTTTTGCATGTTAATTGATGGATTAAGGCTGACCATATATATATATATTTTTTTACCATCTTAACTGTTGGATTAAGACTGATCATATCATCTCTGGTCACAGAGTGCATTTAGAACTGTCTTGGAGACTTGGCTGATATGGGTTTTACCACAAAGAATGTTGACTATAATTACGGCCTTTTTATGTTTGTGATAAGAAAATAAAGACAATGTAATTTAGATATTGTTTGGTTACGTTTTAGTTTTTGGATTTTTTAAAAAAATGTAAAATAGAGACAATTTTTATTTTGTTTGTGATAAAAACTAAAAATAGAAAACATATTTGAAAATTATTTATATTTACCAAATTATGAAAATAAAAACGAAAGATATGTTTGATAACCCTTCAACACACTCGCATAACACACAAATCCAAATCAACACCATTCTCATGCTTTTTAACGGAAAATTTGCCCTTAAATTCTTTGAAAACCCGAACATTATCCAAAATCATCACATCATTATCCAAATTAGGCTTATCATGAACACTATCTAGGCATGACTTATTCAGTTGTGTGCTTAAATTTACTTCTTTTATACAATCCTCTAACATCTTAACCCCAAATTGTCCATTTTCTTGAGGCTTCAATATCATATCCTTAACAATTTCGTTGCTTTCCTCCAAACCCACAACACATTTCCTTGAATCTTTCAATGCCTCTATAACTATAACACTCTTTTCACATTTTTGATTCACTTTCGCGTTCAAACACTCAAAATCTCCCCTCTTTTCCACAATTTTCGCCAAAGCATAAACCCTTGAACTCCCATTTTCTCTACCGTTTGACTCCACTTCGTTACAAATCTCATTGTTTCTCTCTGAACCATTCAAAACCCTAATCCCAGTCTTACATTTGTCATTTTCATTCACAGTCAAATGCTTCAAATTCCCCTTTTTTGTACACATCTTTTATAGAAACACCACTAAAAAACGCACCCTTTTACAGAAATTGGGGCAAACACACGCGCGTGTGCGCACATACACATCTATTTATATATGCATTTTATATATACATAGACGAGAGAGATATGCGATCGCCAAGAGAAACATATGAGAAGAGACGAAGGAGGTCTTCGGTCTTTGTTGAATGGACATAGGCGATGGAGAGAGGAGAGACAGAGAGGCGATGGAGAGAGGAGAGTGAATGAAATGAGTTTCTTATCTTATTTAAAATAGAAATACAAACTCAAACGCGTTTTTATTTTTATTTTTTTGCAAAAAGTGAGATAAAAACAAAAAATGCAAAACAAAAAACTCGAAACAACATCAACCAAACGCACCCTTAGTCTTTAGGAATAATTTTTCATACATGTATTCAATATTTTTAACATACATATAGATTACAAAATACATCTTGACCACTCACTTTCCTAGAACATTAACCACATAACAAGATGCAAGACTCAACCACTTGTATTCCAAGTCAACTAGACACATTTAATAACTAAGTATTATCTAATATGCTTATTTTTAATACTCCTCCTTAATGCTTTGTTGTTGTATTCCCAACATGTCTCTTAGAAAATCGAACTTATCTTTAGGAAGTGTTTTAGTAAAAATATATGCCACTTAATATTCGGTCTTGCTATATGTGACTTGATTCTCTTCATCTTCCACGGCTTCTCCAATAAAGTGATACTACTTATAATGTGCTTAGTTCGGCTATGATAGACAGAATTCTTTGTCATGCTTATAGCTAATTTATTATTGCATAAAATAGGAGTTGCTTCACCTTACTTTTTACCAATATCTTCCATGATTTTTCTTAACCAAATTTCTTTAGAAGTAGTCAATGATGTTAAAACATATTCAGCTTTAGCTGATGATTGTGCCACACTTTGTTACTTCATTGACACCCATGAAATTACACTGGAACCAAGTGAGAATGCGTAGCCCAAAGTACTCCTCATATCGTCATTGTTTCCGACCCAATCATTATCACAAAATCCAAGTTACTTGACATCGATTTTTCTTCCAAACATAATCTCAAAGTCAAGTGTTCATTGAATATGTCTTAACACTCTCTTTAATACCCAAAAATGAATTTGGATTGTGCATAAACCGAGATAATAAACTTGTAGTATACATAATGTCCGACCTTGTAACTGTCAAGTTTGAATATATCTTAACACTCACTTTGCTGTCTCAAAAAGAATTTGGCTTAGTTTGTCTATAAACCGAGAGAATAAACTTGTAGCATACATGATGTCCAGCCTTGTAACTATCAATTATAAAAGATTTTCAACCAAGCTTCTATAAAAAAAATGTTTCAACTTCTTTAGTTTAAGCATCTTTCAACAACTTTTCATTCACAACCAAAAGTATAGCCACCAATTTGCAATTTCTCATTCTAAATTTTTCAAGATAGTTTTTGCATACTTTCTTTGGCAAATAAAGACTTCATCTTCTTATTGATAAATTTAAATTCCCAAGAAGTAATGTAGAAGTCACAAATCACTCATTTCATATCTTTTCATCATCTCATTTTTAAAATCTTCAATCATTCTTTGATCATTCTAGGTAAAAACCAAGTCATTAACCTAAACTGACACAATGAGAATACCAATATTATCTTGCGATTTGATATACAAAGTTGGCTCACTTTTACTTCTTTGAAATTCCTTTGTATTGAAGTAGGAATCAATCTCACTATACCATGCTCGAGGTGCTTGTTTTAGCCTGTACAAAATCTTTTTTACTTTGTACACTTTTTTTTTCACTATTAACCGCAAAGTCTTGAGGTTGCTCTACATAAACTTTTTCGTTCAACACACTATTCAATAATGCTAATTTTACATCTAATTGATGAAGAAACCAACCCCTTTGTGAAGTAAGAGCAATAAGAAGCCTTATTGTATCAAATCAAGCAACCTGAGCAAAAGTTGCTTGGTAATCGATATCGAGTTATTGTGAATACCCTTTTGCTACAAGACTTGCTTTATTTTTTTTTGAATTGAACCATCCAGATTAAGTTTTGTTTTGTAAATCCACTTCATCCCAATGACCTTTTTATTCTTTGGTTTTTCCACCAACTCCCAAGTATTATTTTTCTCAAACACACAAATTTCATCTTCATTGCTTTTTTCCAAGCATCTTCTTTGCTTGCTTCTTCAAAACTTTCGGTTCAACCACACAAAAATTGTATCTAGCATATACATCACTAAGACTTCTCATTTTCCTTACAATTGAACTTGGAGATAAAGTGTTTGAACTTGTGGAAGTAGAAGGAGATGAAGAAGAGTAGGGTGTTGGAGACATTTGTGGTGGAACTTCAACTTTTTCATTTTCATTTTCATGCCCAAAGCTCCCATAATATTCATTTGTTAAAACCACTTGATTTTAAACATTCTTTCCTTTACAATTAAGAGCCATTCTCATTAAAGAGAATATCTCTACAAATAACCACTTTGTTTCTCTTCAAACTAAAGAATTTATAACCCTTTGATTTAGAGCTATAACCTATAAAAATATATTTTTTACTATTTTCATCAAACTTATATCTCACTTTTTTAGGAACATGTGCAAAACAAATGCACCCAAAAACCTTTAAGTGATTCACCGATGGTTTCCTTCCACACCATTCTTCAATCGGAGTTTGATTCTCCAAAGCCTTTTGTTGGACATCTATTCATCAAATAAACCGTCGTGTATACCGCTTTGGTTGAAAATAATTTAGGTAAACCCTTCTCATAAACCATCAATTTTGTCATCTCAACAATGATTTTATTCTTTCTTTCGGCCACTCCATTTTATTGTGGAGTATACCCAACCATCAATTGTCTTTTCATACCAATATTTTCACAAAACTTATTAAATTCATTAAACTTATACTTACCACCTCTATCACTTCTTAACAACTTAATGGATATATTACACTTTGTCTTTCAACAAACTTTTGAAACTTTTTGAATACTTGAAAAACTTTGAATTTTTGTCTTGTAAAATAAACCCAAGTCATTCTTGAAAAAACATCAATAAAGATTATGAAGTATTTGTTACCTCCATGCGAAAGTATTTTTTATGGTCTCCATACATCAATGTGAACAAGCTCCAACAATAATTTGGCTCTCCAAAGTTTTTCTTTTGAAAAAGGATATTGATGATGCTTTCCAAGTGTACTTCCTTCACATTTTTCTTTAACTTCTTGTATAGATGGCAATCCATAAACCATATTCTTTTGTTGTATGATTTTCAAGATTTAAAAGTTCAAGTGCCCAAATCTTCTATGTCAAAGTCAAGATTCATCAACAACTTCCATATTCAAAGAAACATTGTGTGCATACTAAAAAATGAGAGGAAAAATTATGTTTTTCTCCATCTCAATTTTCGCTATAAATTATTTTTTCTCTCCACAATCATATATCATGCAAGAGTTGTCTTCAAACACCACGGAGTACCCAATGCTCTACAATTTGACCAACACTCAATAAATTTTGTTCCAAGTCGGGTACTAACAAGACATATTGGATGTATCTTGTTTCTTTCTTCGTTCCAATGGTAATGGTTCCTTGCAGTTTGTTTGAACTATGACACCATTTCTCATTCTTACTTGAGAATTAGAAATGGCGTCAATGTTCACAAAAATATTACCATCACCGATTATGCAGTTACTACAACCACTATCAAGATACCACACATCATTTTTTTGTTCGGACATTGCTTGACAAGTGTAGAACATGTTTTCACAACTTTCTTGCTCTTTGAAAAAATTAGCTTCTTGATTATTTTTGAACCGTCAATTTTTTTGCAAATAACCAAACTTTTTACGATTAAAACATTGAGACTTTCCACAAAACCAACAATCTTTATCAACATGACTTAATCTTTTGTAAATTCCATATTTTTGTTGAGTGGATTTTTCATTTGATCTTCTTTCAAAATTTCCTCTTACTCTTCCTCTTGAATTTCTTTCTCATCTTCTTCCTCTTCCAAATCTACCTCCTTTAAAAGATTACCTATAGATTGATTGGAACTCGACATTTCATGACTTTTGAAGAAATATCTTTCATCACCAACGTAATCCTCGTGCATACAGTCACAACAACAACTCACATCTTTTAAAAGGTCACGTCACGCCTAGAGAATATAGCTTCTAACAACCAAGTATTCTGGCACATGGAATGTAACAGCCTTAAGGGAATCACGTTAATTATGCAAGGACCGCGCTGGTTACAAGAGGATCACAAAGATCACACAATGCAACTGCATACTTTAAATAAGGATCAAATCCCTCGCATTATAATCAATCAAACATTTTGTGTTTTTATTCTGTGTAATTATGTAATCTCTTTTCCCCATTTAATAGAAAACTTTTCTAGGAGTAAGAGACTCCATTAGGGTAGACTAGTCAAGCTTCCGAACTGGTGAACTGCTATAAATTCTTTGTCTACTGATCTTCATTCATTTTATCTCCCTCAATTGATAGTTCAACCCCCAAGAGCCTAGAAACTTTGACTGGGTATTCCAGTAATCTCCTTTAACATCTACAACAAGATCCCTAAGTCATTCACCTCTGCTCAATCGTGAAGAACATACCATTAAAAACAATTTAATATTTAAATAATAATCCCAACAATTCTATTTTTATATATAATAGAATAGACATGTTCACGAACCAAAAAGAGCCAAACCACATATTGTCTGAGTTCGGCAAATCAAACTGTTTACGAACATCTCAATTCATTTACAGCCCTATCAAAGAGGCACCCTTGCACTGTCAACCACAGATTGTGTTGTTCGGTAATTGGTAGAAATTGACAAGGCTTCTTTGGTTCAATCAGAGTGTTATGACATAAGCTAGTCGTCTTCACCGAAATCATCACCCATAATCTCAATTCAGACAGCACAATCGTGATTCTTGCATTTCATTTTTTTAATTTCGCATATTGTGTGGAGCAATGGTATGCTGCGATTGTTCTCATTTGGAGGAATGGCTATCTTCTGGAACTTTCTGTTAGGCATTACTTCAATAGTCTCTCTTTCTTGAGTAAATATTAAGTGTTACCATCCAATAAGATAATAAAAAAAAAGATAAAATAGGGTTCTTTTCCTATCATGGAAGTGGTTATGTATTGTATGGCTGGTTAGTTGAGTTTTAGTGAGGCTCATTTATTAACTTGTTTACCTATTAATAGATGGTTATACCACGTGACGATACTGACGTGGTGTAACAGTTACACCCAACATTTTTTCCTCTTTTTGGTAGCTGAAAATTATACATTTATTATTTTCTTCATGTGGTACTTACTCGAATGGGTTTCATTTACATCCAAATAATGGTGTTGCTCCAAATTTGTGTACATTGTTCGTGTATAATAGCTATATTTATTGCCTTTCAAATTACAATGAGTAATCATCAAAAAAGGTGTCTGAAAGCATTATATGGGATTGGGTATATTTGTGGACAGTTGAATTGAGTCTCGTTTTTGAAAGTGGCATAGACATGCGCACAAGATGTTTGTTACATTGTTTTGGTGAAAAGAACTCAAAATGTTTACTCTAAGCGAAATTAATGAATTTAAGTTTGAAAAATGTTTCCAATTGTAGAAACCCTATGCTGTCTTTACTGAATTGTAGTTTTTCTTGATTTTGTAGGCACATGGCAGTCGCTGCAATTAAGAGCAACCAAATAAAAAATTTAATGAAGAAGAGGGGAAAAAAAATCTGATTTTGGACTTTGGGGTAGTTTCTATTGAGTGATTTATTTCATCATTTGTGTTCTATTGAGTAGTTTATTTGATCATTTGCTTTCTTCAAATTTTCCCTTGTCCTCGCTAAAGTAGAATGAATAGTTCCCCAATGGATTTGGTGGCCTTTTTTTTTGGGTGGGGGAATGCAGTTTGGCTGTGTTGAAATTGAAAAGCAAATCTCCAGGCATATTTCCTCAATCTTCCAAGATTGCATCGACAGTTCCCATTTGAAACTGGATCTCCATTTAGGGAGAAAATATTCATTACAACGGTGATATCGTGTGGTAAAGTGATGTGATATCACCAACTAATAGTACTACAACAAATAAGCACATGAAACCCACAAAAATCAATAACTAACCTGTCATATAAATAAATAACTTTCCATCCTCCTGCCATGTAAGCTCAAGTGGGGTTCACATTTCCCATTTAGAATTTTATTATTGGTAGATGATACCATATCATCAATGGTGGCATGGTATCACCGTTGTATTCAATATTTACTCCCATTTAGGAAGCGGAAATTTCAAAGCATTCACCTATGTTCCAAAAATTCCAGGAAAAAAAATGGTATAAGAACAGTTACTAGTTATATGAAAGAACAATGTTACAAAATCTAAATGAAACCCAAAAAATTATAATCCAAATACATATCATCCATTGAATGAATGAATTACATTAATTTTTTTAGTAAAATCCACTTACCCCACACTCATTCAAAAGATAACATGCATTTGAGTTTTAAATTTTAAATTTCATTTAAATTATGTAACATTTTCCTATATAAAATACTTTGGCTCATCTCCTTAAAAGGTGCAAGACTCCTGATTTTTAAGGAAACTCGATGCCAACCAAACGGCTTGGATATTTCTTTCCAAAGATTTGTGTGGATTTTATGGGTAGATTATTGAATCTGATCGACATTTTTGTGATATATAATACCTTTAGACATGAATAATAACTAGTCATTCAATAACTAGAACATTCCATACATAAAACACAAACACTCAAAATGAGATAGAATTACGATAGCATAGTTAAGATTGATCTATCTTATCTCGAGATGCAAGAGCTCTTCAAACAAATTCAACATCTTTCCATCCCATGACGGTTCAGATCTTTAGCCAGAAATCAGTCGAAGCTAAATCCACCAAAAATGCTTAAAATCTATTGTTCTCTTTGGAGTGTGGAGACTGAATCAGCATGCGTTAGCAGATGTAGAAAAATGTTTGCAAATAAAAAAAAAAAAAATTGTGTGCTGGGTTGGTGAGGAAATTGCGGAAAGAGAAAGAAGTCCTGGTGGGGCGTTTGATAATGGGTACGAAAGTCTGAAGGAGTCTCTTTCAAGGAGGCGTGATCTGGGAGACTAAGAAAAGAGACGCTGGGTTAGAGTATGAGAGAGAAGAGAGAGGGAGTGAGAGAGAGAGAAGTTTGGGGAGTGAAGGATGTGTGCAACAGCCTTAATCTATGTTCAAGTACTGAATGTTCTGGGTTGCGTTCGGGGTGGCTTGCCCAAGTTGCATCCCTAATCCGAACTGACCCCTTGCTTTATATTTTGTGTAACTGAAACATATGCAACCAAGAAAGAGTCTACGGAAGGTAACTTCTACAATGGCAGACTATTACAACATGCATGCACCTTTATAGTCCAAACCATCCCCCAAAGCACAGTCAAGAACTCGAAAATTTTGAAAATCCTCAACTTGAAATTGATTGTAGGATTAGCATCACATGGAAGGTTCTCGCAATGCCGTGGGCAGGTTTAGCTCAGGCTCAAGTTCAGAAAGTGGAGCAAAATAACAGTCAACCATGTCCTTGGTTACTTCACTTAAGCTCGGTGGATCCCACTGCAAATCACAATTTGGGAGTCCATTAACAAAATTTTCTAACAAACATAAAGTTTCAATTTGAAAGACAGCGAACATCAAATTAAGCAGCACCTTCGGAGCAAAGTCTTTGTCAACTAATCTTGCACGAACACCCTATAAAGGACACAATAGCAGATATAATGTAGGAAATGATTTACGAATAATGTACTATAAGAAGAATTTCTGCAGTTATACCTCACAGAAGTCATTAGAAACCATTTTGGAGATCCAATTAAGGGACATCCGATATTCACGAGCAAGACACTGATCCAGGGGCTGAAACCTACCTTCTCGAATCTAAATTTGGCATATAAAAGTCATAATACTGGTCATACAAGCAAAATCCAAATAGATCTTACTGGGCATGTGAAGGATTAGCAACTCACAGACTGCAAAGTGACCTTCAAGCTCAATGGGGAGGCTTCTTTTAGTTTCTTGAGGGCTTTAGAACACCAATCATCGTAAGATTCCGCAACCTCTTTTTCCTGATCGAGTCAGAGACAGAGTTCAAGCATCTAGGTCAATCGGTAACAGAATTTACCTAAATCAAGCTTCCACAAGATTTGGAGACGATGTGAAGTTCAGAGATATAATAATATTAGCAATTTGTGTTCCGAGGACCCTTTCTATGTGGATTGCAATAGAAGTCTTGGAGCACCGGGGTGCGGATCTTGACCCAAGGAAAGGGCAGAGATTTATGTTTAAAAACAAAGAACTTGAATAACAAATTAAAACCATTGAAGTTGAAAAACGAAGAATCTAAAATAAAAATGAAAAGCATCATCTACGTCCTTCCATTGCTAAGGAAGAACTTCCAATCAAGCAACCAACAAAGAGTAACACTAAAACAAGAGATTTGGCACAAATTAGCTTTTTGCAAGTGCATTGCACACCCTGGAAACACTGCACGTTCTGAAGGTCATACGAGAAAGAAATTGGGTCGACAAATCATTGCCACAGGTACAAAGTAAGCAGCCGATAGGCCTTGGGAGTGAAAGGCTGAAAGCTGTCCCCTCTTCCTCTTTTTGTTGCCAGTTAATCCCCAGATAAGCTCCTTGGCTTAGTACAAAACTGTATCATCCATGATTATGCCACATGGTACAAAAAATGGACCATATACTGCCCGTCATTGGTCCTTTACAAGGGGAATCATCATGGCACAGGACGATTTGATTTGGTGTAATAGGATGACCCTTAAAATTTTTGGTTTTTATTCTCTACAAGAACTAGTTCCAGGAGAAAATTAGGGTGAATGATACTTTGCAGTGTTTGCACTGTAAAAGATTCTCAAATTCTCACTTTACACCCAGAAATGTTAAAATTCTCACATTGCACCCTCAATCAGACAAAAAGGTAGCAATGTAGTCCAAAACCAAATGTTCATTACCTTTTTCGACAAATGTTTTTATTATATTTGTCAAATTATCCTATTCCTATACACAATTATTTGCATAATACTCAATTTTAAGTATTTTCAACGAAAATTTGTATTCAATTTTCTCAAAATGGATTGTTTGATTGAGGGTCCAATATAGAAATTTCAATCTTTGTGAATTTCTTGAGAAAACAATAATCTTATAACCTATAATCATACAAAGATCTATAGTCATGAAAAATGATTTCATTTAACAGCATAGGTTTTTTAAATTTTAACTGCAACTCCAAAAACCAAAAGAAAAAAAGCATGTAGGACAAGAAATAAACAGAACAATCTTAGGTTTTGCCCAATTAAACTCTTGGAATTGATTCGCAGTTTGGTAACAACATTCTGTTGAATCAGCTATGATTTTACTTCAGAACAATAAGCCCCGCCATAGACTCCACAAAACAGTAGGTAAGCACAACGTTGAAAACCTTTTATATACGACACTAACCAAACAACCATAAATCTTACTACCAAAGAGGCTTCTTGATGAGATTGTAGCTCAAAACCCATGTTTTGGGCTTCAGAATCCTATCACATATATTCAGACAGTCAATAAGCACCACAGCAGTTGTTACATATAATTTTTCCACTGATTGTTTTCTTGACATTTTGACAGACTCAGCAGCTTGCAACAAATGTTGACCTAGGCTCAACTTGCATTAGCTAGGGTCAGCAGCTTGCAACAAATTGTTTACACACCAGTAAATTATTCCATTTTAGGACTACAAAAGAGGAGCAACCTAGTCAATCAGATGTCGGGAAAAGAAAAAAAGAAGTTTCATTTGAAAATTTCAGCCAATTATATGAATCAAGTGCATGGTTCCTAATCAAGTGCAGGTCAGAGAGGGGCAATCCATACTCCCCCGCCTTGCTTACGTTTCTTCTCCAGTTGGCTATTCCTTGTTTGTAATTTTAACAACCACCACAAGAAAGAATGAAATAAAGAACAATAAATGAGCAAGTTGTATCATTTACCAGAGCATCTGTAATTTCCTCAACTGTGTCATGGCAAAAACATTTATCAATTGTTTGAATCCTGGATCACAAAGATGAACAGAAACAAAATGAGCCAGAAATAGATCCTCTTTTAATTAAAAAAAAGGTGAGCTATCAAAATGTATAAATTCGTTAAAAAAACAATACTACGAAGTTAGAAGTCATTACAGAAATGGAAATAAATAAAAGGCTAGAAACAATTGTCTGTGGATGCTGTAGATACCATCAATGAATCATTGACATGTTCAATAAACAAGTGCCCATGGAACATTCACCAGACAAAATGCTTCGTTGACTAGAAGATCAATGGAGTTCTTATCCCAATCTGACATTCATTCTCATGCATTTGCTGAGTAATGAAAGGCGTTCTGGTACAAAAATAGGCAGCCCTGAACTCTGGATGGAAGAATGGTCACGAGTTATATCAGAGGAGGTCCCACAATATTTCGATACCATTAGACTCGGTGGAACTTGATTTGGCTGACTTAGATAAAACCAAAAAAAGAGGTTCTAACAGTTAAGGGTTCATGTGAACTGTACGTCTAACTGCCAGCATTTCCATATATTGTACAGAGAGGCGGTAAACATGTGCAATGATGTATTACTCTGGTGAAGCTGACAGATTGATGTCTGGAGGTTTCATGACCACCAAATAGCACATAGGTCACTTGTTGCCACTGACATAACCAACCAATCCAAACCCAAAAGCGTTACTGCCACTACATGTTCTCCTCCAGATAAATGGCTTCCATGTGAAGACATATACAACGAGGTTGGGCTGAATTTTGAGGTTAGTTCAGGATCAGCTTAAACTATTTACCAAGTCTAACCTATTTACCATGGACCCAAACTCAGCTCAACCCTAGCCATCTATTCTTTTGTGAGCTTAGGCTAACCACAGATAAGCCCACTTGGTCCAAGCTCATTTTGAGATTGCTAATATCTAAAAATCAACTATATCTTTCTTGAATAGAACAGGTTTTGCCTACTTTCCACTCATATTTAATTCTTGAAACTCATTTAAAACCATAGATACATGGAAAGTTCAATGAATTGGGAAATGAAGGAAAAGAAGATAAAATAGGTTCTTACAATGTCCCTGGAAACTGATGGAAAATGGCAATTCATCTTATTTCAATTTTTTACTTAAATTCTTGATAAATAACTTAATAAGTTAGGGCATTTGCAGGGACCAGACCTTTGTTCCAATATGATCATATATCCCATCACTGACCATCTCCATTGGCATGGGCCACCCAACCTGAAACTAACATCCACCATTTCTATTTGATTTGCTCAATTTGTAAATTTTTGACCCCTCTAACATGTTAAAATCACTGTAGCCAACACGATATGATTTTATAAAATTGACCGATTTTCTCAAAAATAAAACTCAGACTGATGTGTAATCTGACTATTCTCTATGTTCTCATTAACCCTACATCATAAGGTTTTAAGTCTTGCTGATCCCTTTAACATGTTAAGATCTTTGTTGCCAAATGCTACCAGCTATCCAACACCATAAAGTTCTTTATATTGAATTCAACCTATTTCTCATAAATCAGAACTTTAATTGAAGGGATGCCCCGAACCCGAACTCCAGAGTTCGGTGCGTGAACTACTTCCAATCAATACAGAGCCCTAAATATCCTCGATAATTGATAAATCCCTCAATTTTAAAATTATAATTGACATCAAATATTACATACTTCCTCCATAAAAATTATAATCTCTAATTCCTCACTATCCGAGCTTCTATTGATTTCCATCACGAATTAAACCCGCATTTGAGAGGGATAAATGAGGATGAGCTTGGGAGGCCATCCCCATTTACAGAATAGAGAGGATCAAACAATAGTCTAACAACCAACAATCAAACACGAAAGCACAAAATACGAAAGAATATTATTTTACACATAATATGAAACTCCACACTTCAATCTTTCAAACCACCCATGGTTTCATGCTCAGTTTGTCTCAGTAAAATGCTAATCACCACTCGGTACAACTCATTCTATCTACCGCCCCTTAGAGACACAATCACATCTCACTATCATTATCATACCACTAAGTGTGTCTGACGCATGTGCCGATGGACCCCAAGCAATTCACCAACAAAAATGGTTTTAGCATAATACATACAACGACACTTCAAACAAAAGCTCAAACAAACATTGAAAATCAACAATAAAACAATAAAACAATCAATTGGAATACAATGACCATAATAATGAAACACACTCTTTGCAAAGAAATTTATATACGGATGCATATTGTGAGATAAACCACTTACATCATTGATCTCTAACTTTAGATCTCATCAATATTCAACTTAGTTGGCCATTGATCCTATGGTCCATTTAGTTTGACCTTATGCATCTTCTCTTTTGTCTATACCTAGATTACAATTTGATTTTTCAGAATGCATCACAACACTCGGTCTTTTTTTTCTACCGTCTCTCTTTGCTTTCTTTCTCCCCCTTTTCCTCCTAATCTACTGCCACACTGCTTTACAGTGTTATCATAACCAGATCAGACCGGTAGTTCAACCCAGTGAACCGGCCCCTAAATCGGTCCAATTAGGCTATTAGATCACTTGTGCAGATGACCCGTTAATGGACCGTAAAAACTATCTAATTTTAATAAAAATCAGTGAACCGGACAAGTCAAAAAAAACTAATGATTCAGATCTCAACCCATATAAAATCCCTATTTTGAGCATGTTTGCCCTAAATCAACGATCATCTTTTCAATCTTTACAGATGCACATACCAAATGATCTCTCTCCCTTCTCCTGTTGTGCTTGTAAGTCTACTCTATCTCTCTCTCTCTCTCAGATCAGATGCACTCAGTCACGTGTCACAAACGCCACCCACTCAATCTCTCTCCTTTCACACAAACACACACCCACACTCGATGTCTCAAATTTACTATGCCAAACCAACAGTTGATCTCTCTCAAACCACACTGCCACACACCCACTACACCATAACGATCTCTCACACACTCACTTACCCCAAACCACCCTGCCACACACCCAATCAATCTCTCTCAGCCCCTAGTTCATCTTCTCTTTTCATCCCCTATTGCTTCCTCTTCCTAATCTAACATCAACAATCCTTGTTGGTCCAAAGATATGGAAGTTGTCTTTAAGAATGTAACCTTTACGAGATCTGCTATGAAGTAATATGTGGAATTTTATTGACGGATGAAATTATTATGAAAATATCAAGGACATAATGGAAAAGGGTATTCAAAGAAGAAGATTGAGGAACCTTTTTTTTTTAATTGTTCAGTGAAGAATGTGGAACTTTCAAAAGAAATAAAAAAGAAGGGAAAAAAAAAAAAAAGGTAACAGATTTAGGGGAGGACCACTATTGCAAAATGTTTACGATATTTGTTGATTGGAGATGGACAATTGGGGACGTAAAGTTGAAATTTGATATTTTTCACGAACATTTCTTTTCTCCGCTTAATTTTATAAATTGTATGACAAATTGTATGCATTGGTGGACATGTTGCATATTTTTTAACTAAATTATTATGTTTTATAATTTTTTTTATGTTTTATTATACGAAAGGTTGGGCTAGTTGACCCAATGGTGAATCAGTGACCCATTGACCCGGTTTTTTTACTGGTTCAATGTCTGACCCGATTATGGTAATTATGCTTCTTTATACACAAGTTGATAACACGTGCACTAATTTCTATAATTTGCTCCATTTTTATTTCTCCATGATTTACTCTCTCACTCTTATATAGGTTTCCAGCAATAACTGTAAGCTCCACGTAATTTTATTCGAAATCTCTCAATATGATTTGGTCACGTTTTTTTATTTATTTTTTTAGTGTGGGATATTACAAAGGGTAATCCGAAAATCCTACATGATCTCATTAACCCTACACCCTAAACACTTTTGTAAACTTCAATTCGACATCACTTGATGATTGTTCTATCCAAAAGCAGCACTAATGCCCTGATGACTCCTTCAACTATTAGTTCAACCTTAGGGGAAAAAAAAAGGTTAGCCGGGAAAAAAAATGGCTTAGTATAGGCTAAGACTTATGCCGCCTCGGCACCCCATGATTTCCAGCACACTCACCGTAAATGGGGATTGTCCTTAGCAATATGTTGATGAAAGTGGCAGTGGGATGGCCTAAATATGCTAGAACCTTGTGGTGCTTGTTGATGGCTACAACAGTATCAGGTGATATAGAAAAAGATAAGAAATGAACTAAGGAGATTATAGTAGTCAACTTAATTGAGTGGGAGAGCAACAGATCCAAGTTAAACTCCTTAAACATGGGGTGCAAGTCAAATGGCTACCTACCTTAAATATGAGTACTAAAGGCAACAGTGACAGCATTTGAAGGATCTAAAGTTTGAGATAAGTAATGGGAGGGAGTAAGTTAGAATGATACTAGGACAAGAAATCTACGAATACTCTATTGCAGTTGATAAAGGAGCTTAAGGATGAAAGTTGATAGTTGTTGTAAACCCACTCGACTGCCAACTGCCAGATTCTACTATAATTTGAATTCCAAAGTTGACTGGATTCTTACCAGTCAACTGGATCCTCAACACTTCCATTTGAAAATTTTGACTGTCTGGAAAGGAACAAAGGAAGCAACAGAGGTTAAATTTGTTGACTAAATGTGTGGCTTAAGTTTCTTTGGCCAACAAAAGTGGAGAAAGCAAAAACTATTTTTTTAAGAAGAAAAGAAAACATGCAAACTTGTGCATATGGTAGCTGACGCATTTGTTGACAATTGTTAGATTTATCTGCCTATGAGTAGGTTGTAGAATTTTACCATTTGAAGCATCGGAGTTCAAAGCATACGAGAGAGCTTGAACGACGGTTGGAGTTGAGAGGGGTGTATAAGGGTTTAACTGTTTAAGAGCTTGAGTTTTAAGACTCAATAGTAAATCTATTATCTACCTCAGTACTCAAATCAGGAGCATGTCACAACAAAATTCTCATCTCTTTGCACTTGACTATGTCCAGTTGGTGTACTCTTAGGCACACTTCATCCTGCGCACATCCTTCACTGAGTCAGTGATGATTGAGTGTGATCTTCAAGGGAAGGTCAAACTACTAGGTTTAAAGTGAATATATTGAGATTAGGACTTAAGGTTCATGGTAATCCTACTGAAAACCATAAATTGTTGTTAATATTGGTGTTTTGATTAGTTAATTTGAGGATTAGTGGATTGGGAAATTCCAACCACGAAGGTTGAGAGTACATCTAGGTCCCTGTGGATGTGATCCAACACTATAAATCTCTGTGTCATATTTGTGGACGTTGGATTCATGTTTTTCTTATTTATTACATCTAAATCAGCATTCATAAATGTTTTGTTGATTGGTGAACTCATAAAGCAGATAATTGGAAACCTAGTCGCGTAGCAAACAAGGATTAAATCTGCTAAAGACCCAGTCAATTGGAAGTAAAGATTGACTAGGTTACTCACCCACACCCAGTCAACTGGATACTTCCTAATCACTTTCAATATCTAACTTGACATGCATCATACTGATTAATTTTCACCAAGTATCTGACCAACTGAAATACTTAGTGAATTTAATTTGAGCAGAAACATTTGAGACAAAAAGTTAGGAGAATTCATCTTCTAGGGCATTTCACAGTGACACAGTCATCCGCAGAAAGACCCATAGTAGGGAGATTTTACATATAAAATTTCATTAAGAATGCTTTTTTGGCCGGATTAAAATTTCGTTTTTAAAACGGTCGAAATGTCCAAAACGTTTCCGTTTCTAAGGAGATCGAAACGAATCAGTGATGGAATTAAAATTCTAGTACTTTGAGTTGTATTTTGTAATGTTTCAATATATTTGTACAATTGTTTGTAATGTTTTAAGATATTCAAGATACTTTGATTTTTGACTAATGTTTTGGAAAAATAATTCTTAAATATTTTATTTTTTTCATTTTGTTTCCGAAACACGTCGAAATGTTTTCATTTTCTAAGTGACCGAAACAATGCACCAAAATGAAATTTTGATCCTTGCCCCTAAATCAAGGACTTTCATTTCTAGTACAAGCTCTGTTGGAAGTCAACAATCAGGGATATTTCCAAGGCTCCATTGGAACAAAAAAAAAATGGAAATTGAAGGATAATGCTCGAAAATATTATTGCAGAAAGATAAAATCTCAAGAATTTTCCTCTTTTCCCTTGTTTTTTCAAAATTCAAAGCTCAATAGTTTTCATCATAAAGATGATTAAAAGACACCCCAGTAACATAGTGGTTGATCAGAGAAATAAATAGAAGATTACCTATAAAGAACACTCCTTGTATCTGGGTACACAAGGTCACCATATTGTGCAAGAGAATTCTCTATGACAGAAGGATCATCTGTGATCAATTTACCAAGGCGTTCTTCAATCCAAGCAAGCCTCTGGTAGTAAAAGTAGAATATTTAGCTATTGATGTAGTGCACAGAAATAACTGAACAGTAGCTGATGACTAAGGCACAAGGAACAAACTGCATTCAGGGTATAGTGTGTAGCAAGGCCACAAGCAATCATCTCTACACCATTGAGCTTTTCTCCAGTTAGACCCAAGTACTCCCCTGCAAAGAAAAGCAAAAACAAAGAAGAAAATATCATGTCTAGTCAATTACCATTTAAATCTAATTGTAAGGAATTTTTTACGTGCATTAAGAAAACAAGCGAGGAAAGTAAGTGATGGTTTTACCACTTCTTTGAAAGAAAAGAAGAAAGCATATCAAAGATAACCACTTTACATACTAAGGTGGGCAAGGTGTAATAGCACCAAAAAGAAACAAACTAGAAAAGAAAACCACAACACCAAGAACAACAGCAATTCAAGCACCAAAAAATCAAGGGAGTGAGAGATGAACACTCGGGGCTCTAGCACCATGTAAAGGCAAGAAACTTTGCAGTCTTAAGTCATGGCGAAGATATATACAAGATGCATAAAGTATCTCAGTTACAACTGGAGGGAGAAATATTTCACCTGACAAATAGTAAAGCAAAACCTTGAGGACATCTCGCATCACAGTGTAACAAAATAAAGTTGACTCAATGAGAAACAAGGCATTTTGGCTGATAAAATATGCCCATTTTAAGCCATAAACACCTTTTGCTCCGCCTAATAAAACTCCTACTTGCATCCAAAATAGTATTTGGAACCAAATTTGAAGATATTAGAACTTTAAGTTGAAATATCTAGATGCATCGTTTTAAGACGTTCATGTTGAAGATGCTGAAGGAATGAGAATCCTGATGATTGGTTCCCTTTTGGTTTTGCACAACACATACATATATGGACATTAAGATACATATTTCTAATTTGTAGGTGTGAAGAAATCTTGCATCCCACATGGAAGATTAGGAACAACCAAGTTTGGCTTAGTTGAGGGGCCTTTTCACCCATTACCAATTGAATTGGATGCTCTAACAATAATAGGTCATATTGTGATGTGATATTTCAGTAATGCATGCATAGACGCATTCTAGGATTTTAGGCCTTCGATCAGTCGACCCCACCATAAACATAGATATTTGCTTGCTTATTTGACATAAGACCCACCAAAAGACAAAGTAGCAACATCAAACATTTTAGTTACAAGCCTTGAAAATTCTCTTTTTAGGAACGAATTTGGAGATTGTGTTGCTTAGGGACCGTTAATTATAGAGGTCACTTTGCGCAGGTTGGGGAATATCAAGACTTCCCATAGTTCGACAATCAGTCCAGTTTTGGCATGCAATTGAAATTAATCAGTAGCAACCTCTCGTCTTAGTCATGTGCAAAACATTGCAATCGGGGATGGAAATCAGGAAAAATATAAAATATAAAATTATTAAAAGAGAACAACAAAGAACATAGATATCAAACCAAGTCATTTAATACTGATAGAAGTGACTAAATTGTCAATTCACACCATGGAAAAAAGTCTAAAAAGCAATGAAAACCTCAAGAGAACTTAAAACATGGAGGGGACCAAGGATCAAAATTTTGTTTTGGTGCATTGTTGTAGTTATCTACGAAACGGAAACGTTTTAACATGTTTCAATAAATTTCAACCCGTTTCAAAAACAGAATGAAAAAATATAAAAAAATTTAAGAATTAATTTTTTCAAAACATTGGTCGAAATATACCAAAATATCTTGAGATACCTTGAAACATTCTGAAATAATTGTGCAAATGCTTTGAAATTTAACAAAATATTTCGAAACATTATGGAACATCTCAAAGTATTAGAATTTCGATTTCATCACTGATTCGTTTTGATCTTCTTGGAAATGGAAACGTTTTAGATATTTCGACCGTTTCAAAACAATATTTTGATCCTTGAAGGGGACACAACTAAACATGTTGGTTTTTCATTTACTACAAGAAGTACAAGGAGAAGAGGAAGAGAATATACAAATTAAAGAGATAGAGAGTGTGATGTTGAGAGAGAGAGAGCATAATGTATACTAAACCTCCAACCTACTAAAAGGGAAGAAGAAAAAAAAAGAAAGAAGAGGGAAGGAACCATAAAAGCAATTTATAAGCCTCGTTACTACAAGAGGTAAAAATTGTCAAATAATTGTAATAACAGAACGTACTTCTTTACCCAAAGTATTGAACTCAATGATTCTATTTTCGTGGTCTTTGAAGGGATTAACTAAAAAGCCTAAGGGTTGAACCAGCTTATTGGGCTGAAGAGTTCCCTATCTAATGTAGAATAAAATTCCTTTTTTTGGGACAGAATAAACAGGGTCAATGGGTGAAGGGAGAGGAGGTGTCCATCTACAAGTATAGAACTCTTACAAAATCCCAAAACCACAAAGCTGCCTTCTAAAAGTCCTAAATTGCTTTCAAAAAAATAGATAACCTATGAAACTACAACTAAAACGATCATAATTAAATAGTCTTCTTGGAAAGCTATATGACTAAAGGTTATCACATTAATCCTTTTTTTGACTCTCTATCCAATGATCTTTCTAGTCCTTCTTTTTTACCAGCTAGGTTCATTTGGAAGGCAAAGGTGCCTCTTAAAGTGCAAGTTTTTGCATGACCTATTACACATGGTAAGATTAATACCTTTGATATGCTTCAAAAAAGAAGGCCTAACATTTGTCTTTCCCCTCAATGGTGTGTGATGGACAAAGTGATTTTGAAAGTATTGATCATTTATTTTTACATTGTCTCATTTCTTTGAATTTGCAGTATAAGCTTTTTAGATTGATAGGAATGAAATGGGTGATCTCGGCTTCATCAACATCTTTGATTGTGGAAAATTTGAAAGGCTTTGGTAATTATTTTAAGATAAAGACTCTTCGGAATTGTGCTATAATAGCTACATTTTTAGTCATTTAGAAGGAAAGAAACCCAAAAATTTTTGAAGATCAAGAAGATTGCTTGGAAGGGTAATGGGTTCGCATTCACTTCTTATTGTCTTTTTAGGTTTCGGTTACAAAAGAGTTTAAAGGGATGCCACTGTTTTCTATTCAAATGGGATGAAGAGAATCATGTGATTTATAGGCGTCTAGTGGTTTTGTATTGTTCCATTCCTTTGGTGTTTTCTTTTGGTTGGATTCCTTATCCAACCTCTTTTATCAATAAAGAAGGTTTTGTTTCGTATCAAAAAATTAAAGGTTATCACATTAGGTTGTGCCATTAGTTTCCATTCTGCCAATCTCCTTCCACTGAAAAATTAGTTACTTCAAAAATAGTGCCTCTTTAACAACTCTATAGAAACCCAAGATCTCCATAGTTCTAGCATCCCTTGATCAGTGGCTTTGAATGATAGACAATAATTTCTGTCATAAACTTGAATGTAGATAGAAACCTTATGATGACCTTAATTGGAGATTAACCTCTCCATCATCAACTAGTTTGCAATAATTTCTTAAGAGAAAACCCATCAACATTATGTTCGACAAACTTCAATAGAAGATTCTATATGAACAGAGGCTTAGCCTTACGACTAAAATTCAAATGAGCCATACTCCAATTTTTTCATACCAATATACAAGGGTCACGCGTGGATTACATAATAAAGCTCATAAGATTTTTTTTAATATGAAACAAAAACTTTTATCACGAATAGTAAAACACAATTGGGGTGGACAAGATATCCAATCATCAAAGCACAAAAAGAGAGAAAAAATACAATTCAATTAGAGCAATAAACATCCACATACTTCCCAACAAAACATCCATATATAATCACTTAAGGAAAAATCAATTTCCAATCTTGTTTGATATGAAAAAAAGAAATTCCCAGATTTCTTTAGAAGCCAATGCCGAAAGAGACGCGAAAAAATTTTCTCAGATTACAAAAATTCATCAATCTCTAGTTTTTCTTATGAAATTCTACCATTTCTTTCCAACTATATAACCCACAACATGGCCAATTTCATACAATTCCAAAGCATTTAAGCTATGAAGCACAGACACGATACGACTCAGACACGTGAATACGATATTTTCTAAAATATATGACATGGACACGATGAATAACATATATATTTATTTTTTATATGACTATCTCAACTCAACATAACAAAGCTTTGTCCCAATGATTTTGGGATTAGCTACATGAAATTATTTCGACATTAAGCTCTATCAAGGCAATATTTTCAGCTAAACTATAAAATTATCATACCGTTCTTTACTATTTCATTGTCTAAATCGATTCTCTCTTAACTTATCTTCTATACGTATACCTCTACTTTTCCTAGATATATGCATTCCTAATTCTATCTTTCTTAATTTTACCAACACATCCATCTTAATATTCTCATTTTTGTTACACAAAACTTTTGAACTATAAGCTCTCAATTTGGTGTTAAACATACTTTATAAAGACCATGGGATCATTACCGGGCCCAATTTCATACATAAGTCTAACATAAGCACTACGACTTTGTACAAAAACTTAATTCATTGTGTAAAGTCTATTGAGCTAAAGAGAAGACCCCAAAAAGTGAAACTCCTCTTAAGTCTAGTCAACCCACTTCATAGTAGCATGGTTTAGATAAGTTGTATTTTGGATAAGGAGTAATCTGGATAAGCAATTAATATACTCCATGTGGCTGATAAAAAAAATCAATAGAAGATTCCATCTTCTATCCTCCCTTTCGGTAAACAAAGGTCAAAACTCAAACAACTCTCTGACCCTCCCCTCCCCCGGGCACCTCTACAAACTACCACCTTACTCCTTTAGTCTTTCTCCCTCTTTAAAACATTCCATCAAAGGCAGAAACAAGGATCAAAAATCGTTTCCAAATAGTCGAAACATCTGAAACGGTTGAAATATTCGAAATGTTCCGTTCCAAGGACACCGAAACGAATTAGTGATAGAATCAAAATTCTAATATGTCGAAGTATTCCGTAATATTTCAAAATGTCTTGTTATATTTTAATACATTTGTACAACTATTTCGAATTGTTTCAAGG